AAGAAAGAAAGAAAGAATAAGTGTGTCCGAAGTGAGGGGGGTGGGGTATTTGGGGGAAGATTCAGGACAATGTCTTAGACTGCAGTAACTTTGTATTTATTTTATTTAATTGATTAGTTTATTTATTTTTGTGGCCTTCTCAGCCCACCCTGGGGTTGAGGCTGGCGCAGCATGTGGTGCTGGGGATTGAACCATGGTCCCTGCACTTGCCTAAGCTTGCCTAAGCAGGCACTTTAGACTGCTGAACTATCTCACCAGCCCCATAACTTATTATTTAAACACATCATATTTTAATCAAACCTCATATAGTTTTTAAAACATGCTAAAATATTATTAAATATATGATCCCTGAAGAATAAGAACAAGATTACAAACAGGATAAAACAGTATTTACAATAAAACTATATTTCCATGCTACCAGTCTAGGAAACCCAATTTACAAGAAAGCTGTAGAGCATAATGTTTATCAAAATATTTAAATATCATGCCTTTTAATGTCAGAATTAGTACTTTGTTTTCTTATTTCATACTGAATTATTAGTATACACTGAAATTTTTCATATCACCTCCTCTGCATACTTCGGTGTCAGTAGTAGAAGCAACATTTCTAAGACTAAAAGATCTTTTTCCATTTGCTGTGTTCTCCATCAGGAGAATCACTTACCTCTCACGCATCCTTAGAACTCATCCTCTGAACTTCCACTCTTAATATTAAATTTCTCTTGAAAATACTAAAACGGTCTTGATAATAGCTTTCTTGCTGAGATGCCTTAAATATGGTTTATTGAAGGCAACAGTATCACAATGATTGGATTTGTGATCTTTCCAAGTGCTGGCGTGCTGGCCTGCAAGCCTAACAATTTCATCTCCCCCGTACAGTTCCGATCAGAATGCCCTTTTGGAAAACCCTAGTAAGTCATTCCTTCATAGACAGCTTGTTGGAAACACACAGTGGAAGGTATCTGATGAGTCGGTCGACAGCTCAGGCTTGCTGCACACTTCCATTTTTTCTAAAGATGATTCATGGTAACGCTAAAAAGAATAATCAAGAAACAATGCTACGGTATAGTTCATTTGCCAATGTGTTCGTGTTTTCCAAGACCCCACCTCCACCCCCTGCAAACATGGAGCTTTGGCCCTGAGGGTCACCAGAGTGCTCAGCAATCATCAGGAAGGTGAGGCACCCGAGCTTCTGATGCATTCAAGGCTGCAACATGTGAAACAATCTGGGCAAATATTCAGAGATCCTGGACACCAAACTAAGCTCCAGGGCACAAGGCTATTGTGACTCTTGGTGGACAAACGCCTTTCAAGGAGGCCACCAGGAAAGTAAGCCACTGTGCTCGAGTTTAAATTATTCTTGAATTCCCTGTATAAAGACTATGTTGAACTCTTTAAAAAGAAAAGATTATTCGAATTTTTTTTAAAGTAGCCATTTATTTAATGTTTGCACCTCCTCCCTGGCAAGAAGAAAGTCGCTCTGATGGTGGCCAAATCCTTTCTCCCATATGTCTATTGTGACCCAAAATAGCATGACTTCTCTATACCCTGCCATTGGTCAATAACAAATCATTGACAACTCAATCAGATTTGGCAAATAGTCATTGAGAAATATGTTCAATATGTCAATACTCCACATTATGCGCAGTTGTATTATTGAGGTCCGAGGTGTTACTCGGCTTTACAAAGAGCTCCCACTGTGGGGCAGGTGAGTAAGCCCAGCTCACAGGTCACTACTGCTGGGTATTTTGATTTCTAAGCTCCTTGCTACTGAGTTTTTGCCACTTGTGTTTCAATAATGCCCCCTTGAACCTTTGCACTTGCCTCCTGGATCTACTTGCTTTCTGCCTATTTCCTGTCCCAGCTACACGTTTTGCTGTTTGCTTCCCCTTCCGTGCTTGCCTCAGGATAGTTTTCAAGTTTCTGCTCGTTGACCACGCTGGCTGGAATTCTCCGGAGCGTAGAGACCACATTTGTTATTGACAAGGCACAGACTCCTCCCTCACAATTGCAGGATTGCTATTCAGCCTGCAGACTCCTGAGAGGAACTGCTAATCCCCCTCATCTAGTTCCCTGTTTGCTGCATTCCTGTCCCTGCACGCAGGAGCCACCAATAAGTTGCCCATGGTGGGGGGCCCTTGTGAGCTTGTCCCAAGGTCCCCAGAGCTGTTTACAGACAGGTGGATGTTCTGAGAGTCACACGAAGCAGGTGCAGCGGAGGCTTGACTTCTGCTGCTGGTGGCAGTGGGTGGAGAACTGGCAGTGGGAGCCTCCATGGGGGTGAGGAGCGAACGTGTTGGCAGAAGCGGCGGTGGCAGCAGCAGAGGCAGCAGGAGAGGAGAAATGGAAGTGTATAGGTTTAATGCATCACTAGCTTCTCTCCCAACCTCGGTGAAAAGTCATGTCCCTTTGGGCCTGAGAAGGTCCTTGGAGGGGAGGAGACAGGTAGCAAGACCCTGAGGATCTCCCCAGACCAGTCCTCTTGTCTCCCGAAAACAAGCTAACATTCGAGGTCCTGAGGATCCTTTCCCAATTAGCTCCGTGATGAATTGTGCAGTGTCGAGAGAGAAGCTGTATTTAGCCTCACTTGGCACTCAAGAGTTCCACGGTGGTATTTGCAGGAACACTCCCAGCGAGGTTGGCGATTCTGCTACCACCATTCGGGTTTGTTTGCTTTTTCTCGCTGGAACCTGCCATCACCCTGGCAGAAAGAACTTGGGATTTAAAGGCAAAGGTGGTTTGCCTTTCAGTCTGTGTTCTGAGCACATCCATTTGCCCCATAGGATTATATAACATCCAGTCCAGAGCATGCCCTGCCCCTTCCCTGAAAGATAGATGGTGCTTTCCCTTGGTGTGTCACAGCAAGCATACGGTATGGAGGGGTAAGCAAATTATATGGGGCACTGGATGCTGGCTTCTAAGCCAGGAATAAAATCCACATTTACAAACTCTGAATTCTGGGTTCTAGTTGCCAAATTCCCTTTCCCAATGTCAAAGAGGAGGTATTCAAAATTTTCTTGTGTTGGTGTCCCAAGTCTTCTTACCCCTCAATGGAAATTAGAAGATGCTTCATAATTACCAAATTATGGAGAGTATGTGAGTACATGGATCAATTTACTTTTAATTCCATTTTTATTTTGGCTTGTCACAACTTAAAATTTTACTGTTCTTTACATAGGTTTGTAAATTAGGTGTCATAATCTTACAGTTCTTAGTTTTTACTCCCAGTATTTATTAAACAAAGGAAATTCCCCAGAAGATATCAGTCTCAAAAGACTCATTTAATGCTTCTTCTAATACGGAGACCAAATTAGTAATGAAAATAGGTGGCCTGTTTTTTGTGTCAGTTCTGTAAACTAAGATATCCCCATGTTATAGAAACTGTCATTCTATATGAAAGATATAAAAGGTCCGTAGCTAAATGGCACATGAAGCAATGAATACTTGTCACCACTCATTTTTTTTTAATTCAATTTGGCTTGCCACTAATGTTTCATCTACTACCCTTTCGTGATCTTCATCCCTGTTTTCTAATTATACTCCGTAACTCTCAAGCACACCGTGGGAATCTACTTTTGCTGGGTCTTATCGGAGAGGGAAACGAGTGCTGGAGGCACTGCCTGGGTTTTCTTTCTGTGTTACACAGAGGCACCCTAGGAATTCCGTTCCAT